AGGCGTGCAAAGGTTTTTTTCAGGTTAAATAAAGATTAGCCCCCCAGTGTAAAGGCAGAAGGAAACTTTACTGCAAGACCCTAAAATTACTGTTACATACCTGACTCTTCATGGTACAGAAGTTGGAAAAAAAAAAAAAAACCATTTTAACGTTGTTGTGCACGTACCAATCTCCACCTTGAAGTCCCCAAAACTCACCTTAATCTACGCCTTTGTTTTTCCTTTTTGTTGTTTTTCTCCTTGGGGGTTATTTGATATCATTCATCTTCATCTTGATGATAATCTCAATATATAACAACTTTAACATTTTAAAATCACCTTCTAATCACTGGTTACGTGCTTTTAAACTTGCAAACTGTCATAGAACCCGCAAACTTTGAAATTATGAGAAAACATAATAACGAATCTAAAAAGCTGAACTTCTGGTAGATAAACATCACCCTATCTATATGTATAGTTCATGTACAAAGCAGCTATATGTGTCATGAAGCAAAATGTATATGATATACCCAGAGGATATTACAGAGAGAAAGCTGTGAGAGAGCTGAAATATTATGAAACTCGAGACAATATGATGCTTTGTGTTGTGGCTAATGGCCGGGACCTTTTGTGCTAGGCCCAGAAGACAACGTCGTGTAGACTTTATTCTGGATCAGAGCTCGCCTTCTGAGATCATCTCTAGGGTTGGTCTTCTCTTTCACGAGAGCTCTGTTCTGAAACTTAAGGCTTGTCTGTGATGGAGATGCTCTGCTTTCTGCAACTCCTGGCCTTGTGACGAGAAGCACTGTGAGAACCACCACAAGCACGACGGAGAGCTTCATTGTTTCACAAAACTTAACGGTGAATGAAATGGTTGAAATGTTTTATACAAGAGAAAGACGGGTGGTAGTGGAGAGTGAAAAGAATGGCTCAGAATCTCCAAAGAGTATGCAAAGCAAATAGGGACTTCTTTTACATTCGTCTAAACGGAGCAGGTCGGAGGGCAAATGGACGGTGGAGAGGTCATCATGTGCTGAGAGATTTTTCTCCCCCTCAATTTCTCTTTCCTCCCCCACCCCCCCGGGAATAAAAGAATATTTAATTTTATCCAATTACTCAATGTCTACAAATTCTTAACATAGCTATATATGTAGGACTTAAGGGGCATAGTTTCAGAAATGTTTTTACGGTATACGAAGTAAATATATGAAGAAATTTATCTCGATTTGTGAAAAAATGATTCCGAAAAGTGTTTGTTGGCTTATCCAAACATCCCCTTAAATTTGATATTACTATTAATTTAAGGATTGTGAGTCATTTTTGCCATGTAAGTATTAGCAAAGGAATTACAAGTATTCGAAATATTTTTTCGATTCAATATTATTTTGGAAGTGTTATAAAAATAGAGCAATATTGCCCTTGTCATTAGAAAATGTTAATAATCAAACCTAGTTTTTTCAATGGTTATGGTAAGATTACCTTTTTAATACTTTCTAGATGACATTAAGCTTTTTTTTTTTAAAAAAAAAAAACTTCTCAATACCCATATAATTCCTTTGTGAATACTTTTAATATAAAAATATAGCCCTTAATCCTTAGATTAACCCAACCTTCTATCGAGTTATTCACTCTGTGGCAGATTTAATATGAGAACATGATAATAAAGAACTTTAAAATTGGGATTTTCAAAGAGTGGGACCTGTGGAAGGGGGTAGTTGACTGAAACATTTGATAATGGATTAGAATCAGGCGCAGTAATGGCCACCCCCACCCAGCTCTGGTGTTCCCATTAAGAAACTCCAAAATTTGACTTTACAATATGACTTGCTAACTCTGGGAACTCACTGGATCCAAGCATTCCAAAGCCTCTAGTGCCTATATTTTGAATAGAGACTGGGTATACCAGATGCAAAACTGACCTGGTTTCACATTCTCATTCGAAAAAGATTGCAAGATTCTCTCCAAAAAAAAAAAGTGTCACCTTTCTGTGGCAATGAAACGGAATGTATGAATAAAACTGGGATGGTCAAAATTAGTTATATAAACACTATTACTGTTAGTAATTATTATTATTATTATTAAGGATGGAGAATAAATTTGATGAGGAAGGGTATCGAGGGAGTTTTTAACCATATAGCTTATGAAAAGGCCAATTTGGGGGTGGTCAAAAGAGTGGGGGGAAATGGTAGGTGGAGGTGTGAGAAACCTTATTCCTTTTTCACTTTTGATAACCGATGGACACAATGGCGCATTTATTTGAGCTCAAAACAAAACAAAACAAAAGAACAAGAATCTCTTGCAGGCGGTGGTTTCCAAATGCCGGTGTCTTTTGTTTTTTTTAATTAGATTGAGGTTTGTAGAATCTGGGCAAATTTTTTATGGTTCATAAAAACTTTCATCCTTTTGTTCTTTTTTCCCCGCTTTAATGCTTGTATTGGAGGCCATTAAAATATTTCCGGCTTCTTACAAGGAAAAGAGAAAAAGAGAAAGAAACATAAATGGATAGTGTGGGTGCTGAAAGTGTGTTAAGGGGGGTGGCTACTTTTTGGGACTTGGGATTCCTTCCACAACAGACCAACCATCTTTCTTTTCTTCTCTTTGCATTGGACCATTCTACGCCGTTGCCCATGCCCTTTGAATCAAACATTTCCAAATACTGTGATGGTCAAGTGTTAAATAAAATCAACTTTTTCGATATGATTTTTCACGATTCCTAATTCTCTAATACTGGATTTTGACCGAGAAAAAAACTTGAATCTCAGATAAGTCTCACTTTATCACAATAGTTTTTGTCAAATATAATCAATTATCAAAATAAAATCTATAGTAAGGTTCATTATTCATATACTGGCAATAATATAATTTAGAGTAAAATACTCTGACCTCCCTTCTATTTTGCCTTAATTACACGGACATCCCCTCTATTTTGATAACATACATTTTAGCCCAAACCATTAACACTGTTAAGGAATATTTTGAAAAGATTCTTTATATATATTTTTTAATTAAAAAAATATTAGAATAAACCTTGTTTCCTACTTAACCCCTCATTATTTTAAATATGTAGTTTATCTTTTAATATAATATTTATTAATAATCTATTTAATATTTTTACTAAATTTAATAAATTAAGACATAACTTTATAATTTTATTGAAAATACATGTATACAATTACAAAACACTTTTTACTAATATATATTTAAAAAATTACATCACAAGTAAGTTTAAATAAATAAACAAGATTTATTGTAAAATAAAAATTTGTATTTATAAAATTAATAAAATTTATACTATGGTAATCAATTCATATAACAAAAAATATTAAAATATTTATTATAATTATTTTTTAAGTTTAAATAAAGATGTATGAAATGTCATTAAATAATAATTATTAAGTGATATTTGTATTAAGAAGGGACAATTTGGTCAAAATAATGAGTTAATCTTATAATCTAACAGTGAACTGACAGACGGGTGGATAGGAGTTGAATCTCAAAACTAAAAGGGAGGTTTGTGTAATATATATTTTGATTTTAAGGGAGGTCCATATAAGTTTTCAAAATAAAAGGGAGGTCTTTATAATTTAGATTGAATAGGAGGGACGTTGATGTATTTTACTCTATAATTTATTCTTCACATTCCATACACACACTGTGCACATAACATTTAGCTATGCGAAAGTATAATAGTGAATAACAAAACTAGAAGAAGTCATGGACAATATGAAGATACGGCTGAATCGAATTTCTCTGAAACTTTGTAGATAGTGAATTGGGCCAAGTTGGTTATCTGTGGGCCAGGTAATAAGATTTCGTCCTTGAGCAGCGCACTTGCAAGTGATCCAGACGTTTGGGTACCTGATAGGCCTGAGTCCGCAAGTCCTTGAATTATGCTGGGAAAAATTACGAATAATTTTTAAACAAGAGATTCATTATTCATAAACCAATCTCTCAATTAAAGGAGATTGGTCTAGTAAAAAGAGTTAGTATTCTATAATGTAGTAAACAAAGATTCAAAACCTTTTGGGAGAGATGCCCACATCTCATACCCAACAATGTCTTAAACATGATTATTTCTAATAAAAAGATATATGTGTCATAACACAAAAAGAAAAAATAATAATTTTTAGTAAGTCAGTTTTCTTGATCTACAAGTCAACTTCATAGATTGGTTAAAGAGTAATCTGATCTTTGCACGGGTAAAAAAAACGACAATTATTCGGGACATAGGAGCGTCCACTGTATTTTAGCAAATTTGCTGGACATATTTGGAAATAAGTCTGTTATCTAAGATCTATTTACAATTTTCCTATTACTTTAACTTAAATCCATAAGTAAACATTTCAAGATTTTTCAAATACTTACGGTCTTTTTTATTTCTTATCCTAAAGAAATAAACCCTGAGGGTAATTTATTGTTTAGTAATTAGTATCATATATGATTTACTGGGTACGTTACTGTTTATCAGTAATATGATTTAAAATTAATGTATGGTGATTTAAATAACAGAAAAATCACTGACATTAATTTAAAAGATTGATTTTTATATATGGTCCATTTTATTTCAAATTAATTTAAAATTTTTAGATTTGAGAGAAAGGGAGTCAAAATATTGTTTATGGTTAATAATTTCATTGTTTGAACGTTATGAGAGAGCAAAACATGTTGGAAAAACTACCTTAATTTAGATTTGTTGATATGCTTAAATTTAAAACTTGTAATATAAAAGCATAAAACATTATAAATTGATATAACGAAGGAAAACAGTATCCCTATTATTACTGAAATTTTCTGTAACATTGGGCAGAGAAGATATAATGAAGACATGAAAGAGATATTCCAAAACATAGAACCCCTCAGTCCTCGAAAACAACTCCTTCAGCCTCTCTACTTCTTCCCAAGTTCAAGCTTAGCTTGCGGGAAGAATCTGGAGAGTACTCCAAAATGTGTAATTAAATTTATTCTGCAAGGTAAAAATAAAATAGGCCCGTTGATTTTTTTTTTTTCCCCCCAGCGAAAGTTTAAGCTGAAGCCTGGTTCTTTGCAAGAACTAATTCACCAATGAACTGATTAACATTATTATGAGATGAGCCACCTTCCTGCAACACCTTCCTTGCTGCGTCTTTCAATTTCAATGCCTTCTTCTTCATCTTGTTACCCTCTGGATCCTCCATCACTTTTCTGATGCATCTCTCCAACTGTTCTGCGCTAACATTTCCATCTTCCTCAAAATTCACCTTCACGCTATTCTCGAAAACACTTCCACAAAGCTTAGCATTTGTTGGCTGATCCGACCATTTTGGATAAGCAATCACCGGCACTCCGGCAACCACCGTCTCCGCCGTCGAGTTCCATCCACAATGAGTCATGAAGCAACCCACAGAACGGTGCATTGGCACTTTCTCTTGCGGACACCACGTGACCACCAAGCCTGTCTCTTTCTTTTTCATTTCTTCCAGAAATTCATTTGGCAATTTTGCAGAATCATCTTCCTCGCAATGTTTCCGAGCTGGCTTAACCACCCAAAGAAACGATTTCTCGGTATTTCTCAAAGCCATAACTATATTATCTATCTGCTTTTGAGTGAAGACAATCACACTGCCAAATGAGATATATATTACCGAGCAATCTGGCTTGTCGTCTAGCCACCCCATGCAGGAATCTTCGTTATTCCACAGGTTAATACTGAGATCATCGGTTTCTTTTTGTCCCACAAGAAATGGCGACACCAACGGTCCAATGGACCGATTCTTGATTAGATAATCCATGGCCTTCACAATCTCTTCCTCAATTTCGTCAAACGAAGTGGCGAGAACCCATTGTGCTTTATCAAGAGATTGAAAAAGATCTTGAAGAATGTTCTTGATGGAGGAACCTGCAGAGCTGGAAGGAAGCATAAAGGTTGGAAGATCTCTAATCTCTAACGTTGAAGTCCCGGCAGGTGCAAAATCCCATTGGGGTCTCCAAGATTTGGAAAAAAGTTAAACATTTTTTTAGTAACGATAGTAAATGGAAAACACAGAAGACGCCTGAATCCAAAGTACTGCCCAAGCGATGCCATGCTCGTGAGCTACATCGATGGCCCAAGGCATGAAGGGATTGATAATTAAACAAGAATAGTGGTGAGACGAAGTAATGACGAGACTTGATAAGTTTTTGGGACCGTTTGTTTTGAGAGAATCGAAGAAATCATCAGAATACTTGAGGCGATCAAAGTCAAGGCTAAGACCATCAGAGAAAAACTCGATCTGGATTTGAGAATTATGGGCAATAGGGTTTGAGTTTATTATGTGATGTCGAGCCATTTCAGTGGCGGCGATAGTGACGCGAAGACCCCTTGAAATGAGGAGTTTGGCTAGGTTGAGCATGGGGTTCATGGGGCCTTGGAAGGCCATTGATACCATAAGGACTTTTACTTTCTCTTCAGCTGGAGCCATAATAAAAGGCAATGTAATTTGGAATAATTATGGTGTATAAGATCGATTTTGCACTTAGGAGGAACTTGGGCGTATTATTTGTATGCCATAGCATGCAATATATATGGAAAATTTGTAATCAGGTTATTGTCTAAAAAAGAAAAAAATAATTTTGTCCAATCGTGGAATTATTTTTGTTATAAATATTATAACATGTGGATGTCTATCTCTTCTTCCTCTTTCTCTTTCTCTTCAAGTTCATCAACTCCCATTATTTTCACTAAGCATTAATCTTCCACTACTCCATTACCTTTCCACTATGCTTTTAATCTTGTAACTCTCCCTACTCATATTCATGTGGTTTATTGTCCACTATTTATTATTTAAGTACAAATGTAACCTATGTGTAAGACTGTGTTTATAAATAAGACATACCATTGTATTGTGATGCAAGTGAAAAAATACAATATCATTCTCTCATTTTCTTGTGCACATCTCTTTTCTAATATATTTTCTTTGTTGGCTAATTTCATAACACGTTATCAGCATGATATTCTACTATCAGAGTTCATGGCTTCTAGTTAATACACATTGATGTTTTGTTCGTTGAATGAAGATAGTTTGATCCGAACAGTTTGATAAGATTTCTTCAATTTATTTAGAGGAAATGGTGGTTTTGTATATCAACCTTATTAATTCATGGGTAGCCAAATATTTTATTTATCATATTGAGATATGAAAATTTTTATTTTTATTTCTTACTTTTTCATAATTCTACTATCCTTATACTTCTTGATTTACTATGAGGTTAATGTTCACCTATAATATTACTATATATGATTATCATCTCCGATATTACTTAATTATTGCATTAGAAAGTAAAATGTTAAACATATAAATAAATAGCTAATAGCTATTGTACTCTTGATTTTGTGATTAGATGACTAGAAGCCACATCACATTTTAATGATTCTTTGATAAAAGATCATCTTGTGGTTGTAACAGATGACATGATAAGATTGTCAATATATCAAAATCCTGAAGATTGATGATTTAAAAATTAAACGATACAAAAGAACTTCGTAGTTCTAAAAATTTTGTTATAGTCCGAAAGACTAATATTTGAGAAAAATGATGGTGTGCTATTGAAAGCAAAGAATATATCCATAAGAGTAATAAAGAATATGATCACATTGTATTAGTGGAACTGATAACTAAAAAGGCAATAATCTTGGGGCTTGACTATTGAATCATAATAGAAGAATCAGTAATAGCTCTATGATCAATATGATAAAATTATGAACAATTGTTATAATATGACCATAAATCATATAGATAAATATGTATCAATTCATTAAAAAGCAAATGTTAAAAAAAATGGTTGTGGAATCAAAAAGACCATGGATAATGCTTAATTTTTATCAGTCTTTAAATTTAATATGATTTGTGAGAAACAAATTGTTATAAGAATTTGATATTAGGATATTGATAAGTGTGTGATATAAAACTAAATAGATCAAATAGAGCCAAAAGTTACTAGTTATATTTTATTTATTTATATCTCATTAATATGATCTGATTCAATATTAGTGTTAAATATTTTAGATGTCTATATTGAGAAGTTTTGAACGTTATTTTTTATTTGTACTTTATTTTCAAAAGCTTATTTTTAAATGTTCTTTTATATTTCGGTGTTCTCTATGTGTATTACAAGTTAAATCTGTGATACTCATAATTATTTGTTATTATGTTAATGATATATTGAAATACAGTTGTGCTTCATATTCCTCTTAAATTATATAGTTCCTGAAAAACTAGATGTAATAATATTAATATAGTTCCAGAAGAACTAATACTGATTTTTCTTTATGAGCAAACAAAGTATTGATAATGAAAAATATGACCCATAGATCTACATCACAACTTTAATTCTCCAAAGAGTGTAAATGATATAGTATAATTGGATTAAAGTCTGTAACTATATATGAACTAAGAAGTACTTAGGCTTCCAAGCAAAAGACAGGTTATTGACCTTAGCCTATTATATGCTCGTAACTGTTTATGAAATATATGAATAAATTAATCATGTTTGAATGACTCAATGTTGAGGGGGAGTTTGTTGGAATACAAGTATGAGTTGATATTGGATATATTTTTCATATCAATTTCATAAATATATGTCAACAATCATATATTATATTGAAAAGCTTATTATTGGTAACGAAAAATGGTATAGTAAACCAGACGTTTATTCATATAATTAGATTTATTGTTGACATGACTTGTTTGATCATTTTAAACTATATGATGCAACAAATTATTAAAGATTATGTGTTGATATCCATTGAAAAACTAGAAGATTCTTCCAAATAGCCAACATTTTTAAGAATTCGTATGTGCTGCTTGTTTTCAAAAAAAAAATTGATTATAAAATATCTCTAGTTATGTTTTGTTTTAGAATGGATCACTACATTTTTGGAAATATATTGGGCCTATTTAGAAGCATATAAGTCATACAAGTATTCAATATTTGATAGATGCATCTATATAAAATGGTAACGTGTGACTAATATTAGTTTGCAACCTGAAGCTTGTAAAATTGTTTAGATAAATATTTTCGGACTATGTGAACCTAAAAACTTGATTTTAAAGATACTAGTGAATTTATATATAAGGCTTTTAATGTTGAAAAGCCTGCTTAACAAATTGATCTGGCAAAATTATTTGTTAATGCCTCTGTGAACAGCTTGATCAATATTTATGAGAACAAGTTTTTTCCATTTTAGTGTTGGCATATTTAATTTAATATATTGCAGCACTTATACGTATCAAGGCAACAAAATTCTCCCAATAAAATTGGCTTTTGGTTAGGAGCCAGATATTTTCCATCTAAAATTTGAAATATGCAATATTTATTCCTGCTAATCCACCACATTGCATATAGATGGATATTTAAAAAACAGTTTGGACATATGTTAGGTAAGAACCTCCTTCTTCTTGATTGTCTCTAAATGGAACACAATTATGTTCCTAAAAGAAGCAAATGAATTTAAGAGATTTATATTGCATAATCCTAACATGAGGGGGAGAAATTGACTAACTGGAAAAGAGATAGCATGGAACGCATTATTACTATCAAATATAAATCCTCAAATATATTAGTATGGACCAGAAGTTCATCGAAATTGCATTCATGAAATGCTACAAAATATTTTACTGACCTAAATGAAAATTTTTAAATCTCTTATTCTAGCTGAAAATGCTCCAATTAGTATAAATAAAAATAAGACATACCAGAAGCATGAGAGGTTAATCGGTTCCAATATAAATATCTTGAATAAAGAGGAGCATACAACTTAGAACTTATATTTGAGGAGGCATATACTCTAGAAGAGTGTTAAGACATAACTAATTGTAAAACCCCGGAAGAGATTCAGGTACCTGAAAAGGAAGAAAGAGATCTCAACAAGTTATGTCACAAAAGAAAAAATAGAACCGAAAAGGTAAAGTTGTCGACAATGATTTTCATAAGAATATCATGTGATAAAAAGGATCATGCACATAGATTTATTACATAAAGTAGACATAAGTTTGGCCAAGAACAAAAATAAAAAGGAAAAGACATGATGAAAATATTATTTCGATATGTAAAAATGGACTTGCAGTCCAAACACATGAAATATAAAGTTTCTATAAAATATATGGACGTTTATATGAAAATAAAAATTTTCACAAATAATTATAATGAGACATATTACTTTGTGGTGGATATAATTTTACATATTTGAATAGTCTGACAGTTATGAAATGTGCCTATTAAATATTATTATGACCCATGGATGAGTATCATTAAATAGTGAAATTTACATGATTATCCTTGAAGGATCCAAAATATGCTAGGAGCATATATAAGAAAATCTTTCAGTATATGAAATATTATGAAGATTAAAATAATTTCAGTATGTATCATTCATTTTATAGTTCTGGATCAAAATATATGAAATTTCCCGAAGGATTTCACTTGCCAGAAGCATACAATTCAAGTTCTTGAGAGCAATATTTAATTAAGCTAAATAAGTTTCTATAAGAATTGAAGCGATCAAGGTGTATGTGGTATAACCGACTAAGTAAATACCAGTTGAAGAAATAATATAAAAATGATCCAATTTGCCCACACATTTTTATGAAAAGATCTGAAAATAAGTTTGCTATAATTGTTGTTTATGTTGGTAACATAAATATTATTAAAACTCTTGAAGAGCTTACAAAGCTATAGATTGCTTAAAGAAAGAATTTGAAATGAAGAACTCGGAAAGAACAAAATTTTGTCTCGGATTGCAAATTGAATACTTGAGAAATGAAAACTTTTGTGTATCAAATAATTGATACAAGAAAGGTCTAAAAGTGTTTTATATAGATAAATCACATTCATTATGTACTTTAATGGTTGTGAGATTTGTGAAGGTGAATAAAGAACCTTATATATTTCGAGAAGGTGATGAATACCTACTTGCTCCAAAAGTACCAAATCATAGGTCCAGAAGTACCATATCATATCTTATCAGTTACTCATGACTTGACATATCATTTGCTGTTAACTTATTACTAAGACATAGTTCTTCACCAAAGACATTAGAATAAAATTCTACATTCTTTATGATCCACATGCTAGTAATTTCAAATGGAGTATTTATCTCATAATATTCAAGAGATGGTGAAATATATATTTAGCAAATCTGTTCAAATAGAAATCTAGCAGATTTACTTACCAAGTCACTTCCAATTACAATATTTGAAAAGCTTGTTCATGATATCGGGTACCATAGACTCAGGAATATCAATTGATGTTATCAAGAGGGGGAGTTAATACACGCTGTACTCTTTTTTCCTTGTCTACGGTTTTTTTCATTAGGTTTTCCTAACAAGGTTTTTAATGAGGCAGCACTAAATAGTTTATCAATGAATGTGTACTCTTTTTC